GGCAGGCGAGCCTTTCCAAACCCCCTTTTACACACCTCCAGAAACACCAGGTGAAACCACCAGGCAGGGAACGTCTGAGGGGAAAGCCAAGGCGATGACAGACCATTCACACACGCAAGCTGAAGTCTCCAAATCCAATCTCACAACGGTTTTGGTCAGGGTTTGCCCAGCGCAGGCGCGACTGGCGTCGTCCCGGGGGACTCAAACGCACCCGATTTTGGTTGGGATGGGAACTCACCATGTTTTTCATGTCTTCTGGTCTGAGGGAGGGCAGCTGCAGCTCCAGCTGACACAGGCTCTGGAAGCGGTCCAGGAAGTCCTGGAGAAGGGCTCTGGGCTCATCCACCAGCAACACGGCAAAGCGATCTGGGGGAAAGCAAAGGCGGGAGGCCTGAGCTGGGCCACCAGCCTTCTCACCCCCTTACTTAGCCCACAGCACAACAGAGTCCAGCCAAGGTCACCCAGTAACGGCCTCTTTGCTGTTAAAAGCAAAGCTGAGCACAGCCTCTTCCCTTCGCCACCACCCTCCCTCACGCAGCGGAGCTCTGAGGACAAAAATCTAACCCCCCTTTGAGCATCCCATGTCACTCAGCCTCCCCTGTATCCTCCCAGTTCCAACCCCAACTGCATTTGAACTGCCCTGGAGGCACACAGAGGCTGAGACTCAAGATCTGAGGCTCCAGCCACGGCTCAGTTGTTTATTTGCCGAGGCTGCTCAGAGGCATCGCTCTGCCGCTGCGTATTTCAGCTTCTCCACCGGGGATTGGGATCCTGGATGGGCACTAGGGCTCGGAGACACCAACCTGGGCAAGGGCTGTCGGGCCAGAAGCAGAACTTCTCGTGAGCGGTGCACAAGGCCTTCTTCAGCTCCACGCAGCGCTCCTTGTCTGCAAGGCAAAGCTCCCTCCCAGTCCCCTGCGGAGCCAGCTCCTCGGGGGAAAAGCTGGGAAAACCAACCCAAGGAGAGGAAGGCACCGGGCTGGGAGGGCTCCCATTCACCTCAGGTGACAGATGCCACCTGAGGCTGTAGGTGGCAGAGCCTGAAGCTCTCACCTCGGGCTCATCTCCCCACCAAAAGGAGCTGCTGCACCTCCAGCCTCCCCGCAGGCAACCACAGAGCAGCGAAGGCAGGCTGGCTCCAGGGGTTATCGCCACACCAGCGGTTCCGCTGCCCTGCGGCCAAAATCTCCTCCCCTTCCCAGGCCCAGCCGGCCCTGCTGCACGGCAGAGCAGCAGAGACACGGCTCAAACCAACCCCTGGCAGAGGAACCGCCTGCTCTTGCCTGTTTTCCCTCCTGGGCTGCTGCGAGAGCCCAGCTAACTCCCCTGACCCCTCCACCCTGGCTGCAGGAGCCAAATCACAGCCACGTCTGGAAATCAAGCTTCCCCCCAAAAGATTCGGTACTTAATTTGACTTATTCACACCTTTCAGAGCCAAATCATTTCTTTTTCTTCAATTTATTTTCCAAGCCCTTCTTCCAACCTCCGATTATTTTAGATTTTCCCGATCCAGCGTGATTACCAACAGAATAATTAGGCCAAGGTTTATTTAAAAGAGATAGTCTGACCAAACAGCGGATGCCAGTATTCAGTGACCCGAAAGGAAACGCTCATCCAGCTCCCCACGACCCACACTGCAGCTGTCAGACATCAGGGCTGCGCCCTCCGCCCCCTTCCAGACACCAAGAGAAGCGACTTGCAATCCCAAAAATCGAGAAGCAGAGAGGAACACTTATTCGGGGTGGGGTAACCAACACCTTTCTGCAGAGGAGAGCTGCAGGGCAAGGGAAGGGAAGGGCTGGGCAGGTGACAAAGCACAGCCCATCGCTGCCGCGCTCCCAGCCCAGCGTGGTCCAAGGTGGGAGAGATGGGAGCTGCTGGTGCTCCCTGCCTGCACCTCACAGGGCAGGGGGCTGAGTAAGGGCAACAGAAAGGGGAGGTTCACTGCTGGTAGTCCTGTAGTTTAAAGAGGGCAGGGGAGGAGATTATTAACTACATTGAACGGGACCCCCTGAAAGGACTGACTTGGTGACCAACAGCTCACGTCAGAAAAGTTTAGTGGAGGATCAGGGCAGCAGACTGAAGAGTCAGGAAACCGAATTTTAAGAAAAAAAAAAAAGGATATTAAGGTGAAGAATGCGTCCAGAGGGCAACAAAGCTGGTGAAAGGGCTAGAAGGCACGTCCTGCGAGGAGTCTGCGTTTGGCTGGTTCACAGAGGGGGACAAGGGGTGACCCCGCTGCACTCTACAGCTTCCCCAGGAGGGGGAGCGCAGAGGGAGGAGCTGATCTCTTCTCCCTGGGCCCCTGTGATAGGACGTGGAACGGCTCAAAGCCCCCTCAGGGCAGGTTCAGACTTGTATTCGGGAGTTTTTCTTCCCCAAGGGGGTGGTCACGCATTGGAACAGGCTGCCCAGGGAGGCGGGGGGTGCCCCAAGCCTGGCAGTGCTCAAGAGGCCTTTGGACAACGCCCTTAATAACATGCTTTAATGTTTGGTCAGCCCTGAAGTGGTCAAGCAGTTGGACTAGACTATCCCTTCCAGCTGGAGCTATTCCATTCTAACCCACCCCTGACGACAGAAGCAGGAAGTTTTACCTTTAACTAAAAGGAAATCTATTCAACGTGCACTTTATTTTCAAAACCCACCACCCAGCACCTCCCAGGACAAGACCAGGGAAGTTCTTGACACACCTAATGAGGCACAGACACCCCCAAACCCTACAGCCCACCCCCCCGTACCTGCCAGGCACCGGCTTACGTACACTTGTTGAAGTCGAAGGCGAGCTGCAGGCTCACGCAGAGGAAGGCCTGGCAGCTGGAGCACTTCAGCATGTCGCACTCCACGTTGGTCCAGCCGTACTTGGCACAAACCAGGGGAGAGAGCTCGTGGGGTTTGCCCGCCCACTTCAGCGGGTGCTCACGTTAAGGATAAAACCCAATAAATTGACCAGGCAAAGCTTTGGTCAGGGTTTATTTGGCCAAAGAAGAAAAGCTTCTGAAAAGATAGAGCCCGCGGGGAAGCCAGGGAGAGGGGGACAGCGAAACAGGGTGGGGGACAGCTGGAAGCTCAGCGTCAGAAAGGATATGGTGAAGGTTTCTACTCTGCTGAAATAGGCTTCCTTGCTGGCGGACTCTAAGGAGAGAGCATCCATTGGAGAAGATCCATTAGCCGATTCCGACCAGTCCAACGTGTCCTTCCTAAAAGGAGCAGCCACGCGTCAGCCAGGGAAGCATCCCAGAGAGATTTCATTAATAAAAAACACACAGACCACTTCCTATCCTCCCCTCCTTCACACTTATCCCTACATCAACCCCTTCTCCACAGCCCCCAAGTCCCAACCTTTAGTTACTTTACTAATAAGCCAATTAATAAAACAATAATACAACAAGCCAAGCTGCTCAGTAAACATTTCACAACTGATAGCAGCGGCAGACGGGGATTTGACGTGACAAGGAGGAGACAGGAACTTGTTCTCTGAGCCTGGAGAAGGCAGATCGATGACTGGGGCACGTTGCTGAAGTTGGGGACCCCCCCCAGCCCCCGACACCAGCATCCACAGCCAGAACGTGGGCCCCTGGGGCCGAAACACTAGCCCTGTGGCAAGCACTGCCCTTTGGCTGCCCCCCAACACCCCTCCACGGGCCAAAATTCAGGGATGATTGAACTGTGACTCTGAGGGTGACCACAGCTGCTCAGCTTTAGTAGGATACCCCCAAAGCTCAGCCATCCACCCCCCACCCCGCACCTCCCAGATCCCCCAGTGCCTCCCAGTAACTCTCAGTGGCCCCTCAGGGGGTGACCCCACACTTTTTGGGTCAGAGGCCTGGTACGTGGCCAGTTCAGCTCACTCAGACCGCGGGGACGCCTGAACGCCACAGGTCACTTCCCTGCCCCTGCCTTCCCAGTGCCTCCCAGTGCACACCAGTGCCTCCCGCTGCCCACTACTGCCTCCCAGTGTTCCAGTATCTCTGTTTCCGCTACTGCCTCCCCGTGCCTCTTAGTTCCTCCAGTACTCCCAATGCCACTAGTACGACCTCACAGTGCTTCCTAGTCCCTCCCACTGCTCCTCAGTCCCACCAGTACCGTCTCCCACTGCTCCTCAGTCTCACCAGTACCGTCTCCCAGCGCCCCTCACTTCCCAGCGCCTCCCCCCGTGCTTCCCAGTCCCTCCCAGGACACCCCAGCACCCTCTTTTCCCAGTACCCCTCCCCTCATTATAACTCCCACTACCTTCCAGTGCT